TTATCACTTTCTTAGCTTTGATGCCCATTTCACTTCCCAAAACCATGCCCTGAGCCCATGGTTCTCACACGGGCAGATAGATAAAGTGCTGTGTGTAGCACAGGTCAGACATAGAATACACTTAGCCTCTAGTGGTCCTGGATTGTAAGGGTGCCAGGCACTTTTCATGCATTATCTCATTTAATCCGCTCCATGCCTCTGTGTGGAAGGGAGTGTTACTGCCCTATTTTACAGATGAGGAAACTATAGTAGTAATGGTAGTAGTAGTAGTAGCAACCATTGCCTGGCAGGATGCCGCCTACTCCAGGAAGCCCTCCTAGACTCTCCAGGCTGTGTGGTGCTCCATCTTTGCTGCAGTGTCAAGATCTCCTTCTCTACTTCCCCTCTGGACTCCTGCTCCTTGAGAGTCAGGGCCTTGTCTGATTCATTCCCGTGTCCCTGGCACATAGTTGGTGCTCCCGGAAGTGCTATGGCTGGTACTGAGCCTCACAACACTAACCTTCCTGGGTCATGTCTGTCCCCATGCCCATTGGGCCCCAGGAGGACAGTGCGGACCTGAAGTGCCAGCTGCACTTTGCAAAGGAGGAGTCAGCCCTCATGTGCAAGAAGCTCACCAAGCTAGCCAAGGAGAACGACAGCATGAAGGAGGAGCTCCTCAAATACCGCTCGCTCTACGGTGATCTGGACAGTGCCCTGTCTGCCGAGGAGCTGGCCGATGCGCCCCACTCTCGGGAGACCGAGCTGAAGGTGCACCTGAAGCTGGTGGAGGAGGAAGCCAACCTGCTGAGCCGCCGCATCGTGGAGCTGGAGGTGGAAAACCGAGGCCTGCGGGCGGAGATGGACGACATGAAGGACCACGGCGGCGGCTGCGGAGGCTCAGAGGCGCGCCTGGCCTTCTCGGCGCTGGGCGGCGGCGAGTGCGGGGAAAGCCTGGCGGAGCTGCGGCGACACCTGCAGTTTGTGGAGGAGGAGGCGGAGCTGCTCCGACGCTCCTCAGCTGAGCTGGAGGACCAGAACAAGCTGCTGCTGGCCGAGCTGGCCAAGTACCGCTCAGAGCACGAGCTGGATGTGACGCTGTCGGAGGACAGCTGCTCCGTGCTCAGTGAGCCCTCGCAGGAGGAGCTGGCGGCTGCCAAGCTGCAGATCGGTGAGCTCAGCGGCAAGGTCAAGAAGCTACAGTATGAGAACCGGGTGCTGCTCTCCAACCTCCAGCGCTGTGACCTTGCCTCCTGCCAGAGCACACGGCCAATGCTGGAGACGGACGCCGAGGCCGGGGACTCTGCCCAATGTGTGCCCGCTGCTCTTGGCGAGGCCCACGGCCCCCATGCTGCCCGGTTCTGCAGAGCCAGGGAGGCCGAGGTGCTGCCTGGGCTGAGGGAGCAGGCCGCCCTGGTCAGCAAGGCCATCGATGTCCTGGTGGCCGATGCCAATGGCTTCTCGGCCGGCCTCCGCCTGTATCTGGACAACGAGTGCACCGACTTTCGGCTGCACGAGGCCCCCGACAACAGCGAGGGTCCCAGGGACACCAAACTCATCCATGCCATCCTGGTGCGGCTGACCATGCTCCAGCAGGAGCTCAATGCCTTCACCCGGAAGGCGGACACTGTCCTCGGGAGCTCTGCCAAGGAGCAACCGGAACCCTTCTCGTCGCTGCCTGCCTTGGGTTCCCAGGGGTCCTCCAAGGAGATTCTTTTGGCCAAAGACCTTGGCTCAGACTTCCAGGTAAGATGTCCCAGTCACAAAAAAGATGTCCCTATTATTTTTTTGTTATAAACTGTCTACTGAATCATCTATAGGACAGAGAGGGACACAAGGCATAAGTGTACAGCTTAATGAATTTCCCCAAGATGAACACACTTGAGTAATCATCACCCAGAACAAGAACTAGAATGTGACCAGCACCCCAGAAGCCCCTCCTCATGTCCCCTTCCAGCCACTATTCCCATTCCCAAGGGAGACCCCTCTCCTCATTCACTTTGTCTGTCTTTGGACTTTATATAAACTGAATCATATAACACATACTCCTTTATGCCTGGCTTCTTTCCTCAGTGTTTTGTTTCTTGTCTCATGTAGTAATAATTTGTTCATTCTCGTTACTGGACACGATCTCATTGAGTGAATATGCCCCAATTCACTTAGTCATTTACCATTGATAGATATAGGGGTTGATTTCGAGTCCCCCCCCCTTTTTTTTTGCCAGGTTGCCCTTTGTTCTTGTGTTATTTCTTTTGCAATTTTGATTTTAAAACATGTATTATTAAGAAGCAAACAAACAAAGGAGTTTAGAAGTGCCTGGTAAAAAGAGGAACACCTCCTCCTTGCTGCCTGTAGGTACCACTATTAATGGTCTGGAGCAGTGCTGTCCCAGTCCTGTCCAGGACAGAGGCCACTAGCCACATGTGGCTACTTAAATTTAAATTAATAAAAATTTCATGCAGTTGAAAATTCATTTCATTGGTCTCAGTAGCCACATGTCAAGTGCTCAGTAGCTCAAGTGGTACAGACCTAGACCATTTCATTATCAAGGCATGCCCTTTTAAATCTTTGTGCATTCTCTCATATATTTATTTTTCACCCAAATTGTCTTATGTGATACGTACTGTGACCACACAATTGATTTTTCTTATGTAATGTAGCTAGTGGTTCATGTACTTATGATGTTGTGTTTACTATTCATATACTTTTTGTGATCAGTGATCAGAGCTGGAGGTGCCCTGGTAAACAAAAACAGACATGATTCCTGCCCCCCAGCTTCTGTCATCTAGTGGGGAAGAAAGATGTTAATCAAAATATCCTGCCAGTGAATGTGACCTAGACTCTGGGGCATGGAAGACCTCAATCTGAGCCGAGATCAGAAGGGTAGATTACTGGGGAAGAGTGTTCTAAGAAGAGGGAACAGCCTGTGTGAAGGCATCATAGCAAGGAGGAGCAGCGTGTGCACAAGGACAAAGAAAAGGAGAGAGTCTGGGTTACAGGGAGCGTTTTCATCCTGAGAGCAATGGAAGGGGTCTTCCCATGTCTGTACAGAGATTTGGCTCTTTTTTT